GTCTTAAGGTCGTCGGCTAATTTTTAGCTGTCCGCAGTAAAACAACTTGCAGTTCTACCATATATTGTTTTCAGTCTTTCTTTAATAGCCATCTACTGTTGTGTTTTTGAGAAAGGTTTTTTAGAACATTCTTCCCATCAATGTACTAGGAGATGAGAAGGATTATTGTCAAAGGAATAATTGTCTAAGGAATTCCTTCCAAAAATTTTACTGTTTCTTTACTGACAACTTCGGTTTTGTTGAATCACAAAGTTGAATTTGTTTCTTTTTCCCTGCATTGCAGCCTGTAAAGAGCCCTGTGACCATTTGTGGTGACATTCATGGGCAATTTCACGATCTAGCTGAACTTTTTCGGATTGGAGGGAAGGTATTTTTTTCCACTGTGACATTTGTTTTCTAATTTTTGTGTTTGAGCTGGGGAAAGTAAATTGTGAGACTGGCCGAGGAGTGACATTGAGGATTGAAGTGGTCTTATGCATAGTTGTTAGTATCGTACGATACGTCACGATATAGGGCTAAAACGATACGAATCGTAGTTTTGTATCGTTTTTGTATTGTATCGTCCGATACACGATACGTTTTTACGATACGATACGTGCAAAGACTATTTTTTTTTTTAATGGAACGACGTCGTCAGTGGCTAGGGTTTACAAAAAAAATAAAAATACCTCTTTTCCTTCTTCGTTGGTCCTGGGTGTTCGTTGGTTTGGTCTTCGACTCATGGCCTGGGTGTTCGCTAGTCTGGTTGTCGACTCCTGGCTTGGGTGTTCGCTGGTCTGGTCTTCGATTCCTGGCCTGGTTGTTCTTTAGCCTTCGATGACGACTCCTGGGTGTTCTCTGTTCTTCCATCTAAGCTACCTCTCTATTCATCCATCGAAGCTGCCTTCTTCTTCTTCTTCTTCTCCTCTCTCTCTATCTCCGGCACCGGCATCGCCTCTCGCCTCTTCTCTCTGTCTCTGTGTTCGTTTGTGGGTTTTACAGACGACGGTGCAGATTTTCTTTTTTGTTATAAGAAAGAACAATTACATTTATTACCCTATTACATTATAACTTTTTATTTTTAATTATACATAAGTACCATTAATTTAATTTGATACCCTTAATTATTTTTTTAATATTAGTAAATTGTATTGGTGACTTGAATAGTAGGTGGAATATTAATGAAATGTTATGGTTTTATGAGTCTATGATTTTTTTTCAAAAGTATATATATTTTGTTATTAATTATTTAAAATTGCACCGTATCTTACGATATATGATACGATATGATACACTATTTTTAAAAAACGATACACCTTTGATACACGATTTGATAACTATGGTCTTATGATACCATGGCAGGTTGAAATGCTACTAGAGCTACATTTGTTTTTCACTCTAAAATGTCCTCATGATTAAATCTTTTTGACCTTATTATATACCTATGAAAGAATTGCTGCGGTAACTTGGTACTCTATATACTTCGATACTTGTGCCTAAGCACTTGGGTCAGTAGCACATTAGAAATTGAGAATGACTTGCATTGTAGCGTGCTAGACCCTTTACTGCGTCATTAGTGTTTATGGTTGACATACTTGCTATAAAGTGATTCTTTGAATATTAGTTGTTAGTACTGGTACTTTGGACAGATGCTTTTATGTGTATTTGGTCATGCGATGAAGTTAAGTGATTGGTTGCATTTAATGAATTTTGAAAATGTAGCTGTTTATGCTGAGCAGTGTGTTCATACTTGCATGCTCTTATGGAAATAAAAAGATGTGAAATTTCTTTTTTTGAATTCTTAAAAAACCACAGATCTTTCTTTTTAGTCACAAGTGAAACCACAAAATCATTACTTATCTTACGTCGAAAGACATCCTCAGTAAAACACCTGTCTGATTTTTTTTTTTTTTGAATATTCTTGTTCTAACCGGAAAAGAACCACCTCTAAATGAAATGATGAATTAAATTTTACAGATGCATCAATTTCTCATAGTTAACGTGAAAAGCTACAAAGATAGAATAAGGAAACCTTCAAGGAACAATCAGGAAATTCAGACGATGCAAATGTTTAAGTACTTCAGCCACATACACTTATTTCATTAATTGATTTCATCTCGGCATTGGGCCAACGTTTAGACAGCTAAGCCAAAATGCTCGAGAGGTGGCCTAGATCACTAGGTACTGCTTGAATGCCAAATACTTCTTTTTTGATGTTTGTGAAACCATGTACATGTAAACATCAGGTGCATGTGGGGCGGAATATTAGGTGGGTACCCTAAGACTGTTGGATAACGCCTTTTTAAATGGAAAAAGAAGTCAATAAATGGCACAATGACCAAACTTAGATTTTGTACATTGCATATCTAATCATTGAAATTAAAAAAGAATTTCTTCTATATTTTCGAAGTAACATATATGGGGTTTTTTGTGTGCTCCTTTTATCTATGATGCTGGGTGTAACTGTTTCCAATTTGTGTAGTTGTGTTCTTCGGTGTAGTTCATCAGAATAATGGGACAACTGATGTCAGTGGCCTGGTTAGAAGAAGTTTTTTTGGGATTAAAGTCTCCAATCGAACCAACATAATGTTACACAAAGATTTTGTGTCTGAACAATGTCAAAACATGCGAGAAACTAATTTGGTGGTTCCAGTGTCATCAGATTCTGGCCTTTTAAATTGGAGCTGCCAAGTTTTTAATTAAGAATTGGGTCTTAATTGAGCCAATTCCAAGCTGAACTTTGGTTCTATACTCACATATAGTGGTATGGCGAAATTAGGGACTTCCAGTTGTATCAGGAATTCAGGTCATACTCGGCATTACTTATCATGAATTTTCATGAAGATTAGATGATTGTTACCATCTGATGTAGTGTTATGAAAAGTAGGTAAGATTTATTTTCAGAGTGCATGGCCATCTTTTTGGACCCAATGATCAAAGTCTTTTGATCATTTGGATATCCATCTAGCTAACTAGAAAGAAATAAAAAGCCTGTTTAAATGCTATTTTAACTTCCAATTTCCTACTACTGTTCTACTCATGAATTTGGAAACAGTACTTTTTTTTCCCCTGCTGTTGTTTACTAAGGCATCATTTACATTAGGACTGTTGGTTTCCTTGTAATTNCCCCTGCTGTTGTTTACTAAGGCATCATTTACATTAGGACTGTTGGTTTCCTTGTAATTTTTCTTGCACTGATACCAATTTTCTTTCTTAATAAGTTGCATTTTGTTATTGGCAGTGTCCAGATACAAACTACTTATTTATGGGAGATTATGTGGATCGGGGTTACTATTCAGTTGAAACTGTCACAGTAAGTACAAGCTGGAAAATGATACTGTGGGCAAGTTCTTCATAAAAACAACTAGTTTTAAAGAATATTTACATATACCGGTTTGATCATATATTTACTGGGGAGAAGTTTATTTATATATCTATAAAAACAATTCTCCGAACGAATGTATGGGGATATCGAATTGCTCATGTAAGACACCATCTAGCAATTGTCAGATATGCATCTGTAAAGATTGATGCACTGTCACCTGTTTGGTATTGTGTGTTTTCCATATATTTAAATTTTTTTCCTTTTGTTTAGTGTACGTCCTTTTTGGGGTAGGGCTGACAGCAGTTAATATGCATTATGTGAAATAAAATGATGCTCAAGATTATACTAGCTGACATATGTATCACTGCAAAATTCACGATAAAGAAACACGTTGAAATGGTTGATGCAAATGATAGGTTTGTAGCTTAATAAAGCAACTATCACTCAATTCAATTCAACTCAATGAAACCTTGTGCCAAGTACTTGGGACTAGCAAACAAGTCGATTCAAGCCTATCAATTGTATTCTTTTAAACAGTAAATGTACTGAATGGTATTTTCTTGCTTTATATTATAAAGTTCATGCAGAATCAAGTTGGAGCTAGCTTGAGGATTCTTATTCTTAAATAGAAGTCCCTTGCCACCTTTCTTTTAGGGACTCATATCTCATCATGCTATTTTTGGCCTTATGAATGTTTCACATATGTTTGTTATGCTTGTCAAACATCAAGTTGTCCAAAGATCGAAAATGGTACAGCACTCTCAACTTACTTACACAGGGCAGTGCAAAGAAAGACTTCCATGCAACTTCTAAACTTATATAGCAGAATGCTAGAATTTTTTTTTTTTAACTCCCAAAACCTTGAACACTAGATGTCCTGAATTTGCAGTAACCAATTTTTTGGTAATACAGAATCTGCCAGCATTACCAGTAGCAAATTGCATCGATTTCCCATAACCCTATTACATTTCTTTTACTTTTTGATACCCTCTAATACTATAGGCTTTCTAGAACCTACTTGACCAGGCCAAAAGATAAATGAGATAGGTTTACATAGACCCGTTTTGCGATGAATAATAAAGGATGGCCTTGATACAATTTTCCGTTCTTCTTTTGGTTTCTATAAATTAGAGACTGTTTTGATCTAAATCTCTGCCCTGCTGGTATTTTCTTAGGTTTTATGCATTGATATGATCTATATACTCATTGATGCATTGTGTCATACCTTGGCTGCATCAAATACATGGTATACTACTATACTTGCGTTTATATGGAGTATGAGTTCTTAATTAAATTGATCTTCTTTCATTCTCTTTGTCATGATGTTTGGATGGAGTCGATATTGCTGATGATACCCTTTTCCCGCTTGAAACTTACTCAGTGATGCGTTTTTTAATGTCTTTTACAGTATAGTTGTTCATTTGCATTTCATTTGCAATGTTTCTTTTGGTGAGTAAAAGATTTAACTGACTTAATGCCATAGTTTTCAAAGTAATGGTAAAGTATATAATCATTAAGATAGGATATGAGCAGCAATTTGCTAAGTCAAAAGAATGTAATGATTGTATGCTAAAGTAACATAATGACCTTTATGCTATTTTTGCCTTTTTTTGCGCAACGTGCTTCACATAGTATGTAAATGAAATTTTGACCACTTGGTTAATACTAATACCCTTGTTGTATCCAGCTCCTGGTGGCCTTGAAAGTACGTTATCCGCAGCGGATTACAATCCTTAGGGGAAATCATGAGAGTCGACAGGTATTCAGTTTCCTCATTTATACTTTTTGACCCTTGTCAAAAATTGAATAGGCATTGAGTGGTCATGGTGCTTCTTGCATGTTTTATGATAATGATCAGCCTCATTTTCTCAAATCGTTGGGTAGGAAAATATTCTGTGAGCTGAAGCATTCTGGGAGCTCTAGCAGAATTTTATTAATGTGCTTGTTCTGGTTCTTTGTATGGTTATCCATTTTATGTTTAGTTTTTGTAATGCATATTATTAGTTTCTCACTTTTCATTCCTTCCTCTGAGTACCATAATCATGATGTTCCTTTGGTAGGGCTGTAAGGCAGGCCTATTTTTGGAGACCTTGAGCTTGGCTCCAAGGTTCATAGTATCGGCGATACTGATATGAGTCGGCAGCAGAGTCATATCTGACTTGGTACCCTTTAAGTCGATACCGTTTCGCATTATGTATAAAATCTGAGTCTTGCGACCTCAATTTCTAGCAATGTTCAACTTCTTCTTTAAGGTTGAATCTCCTGATACCGTTATGCAACGCTCCGACTGATGTGTCTTTGAACCCTTTGAGTTGATGACAGATACGATGACTTTCAACCATTCGAGAAGTATGTCGCTTGGCTCAACTAAACTAATTGGCGGGCTTAACAAGTGGAACTCGTGCTTCAATTTGTTGCTTGTTTGACTGACCCCACCTTGAGCAATCTAATACTCAAATTGTGTCTCCAACTCATTCGAGAAGTATGTCGCTATGAAGTTATTTTACTTATCACATGGTATCAAATTGCATTATGAAGAGCATTCATAGTGTCCCCCCACCCCACCCCANTGATGATACCCTTTTCCCGCTTGAAACTTACTCAGTGATGCGTTTTTTAATGTCTTTTACAGTGTAGTTGTTCATTTGCATTTCATTTGCAATGTTTCTTTTGGTGAGTAAAAGATTTAACTGACTTAATGCCATTGTTTTCAAAGTAATGGTAAAGTATATAATCATTAAGATAGGATATGAGCAGCAATTTGCTAAGTCAAAAGAATGTAATGATTGTATGCTAAAGTAACATAATGACCTTTATGCTATTTTTGCCTTTTTTTGCGCAACGTGCTTCACATAGTATGTAAATGAAATTTTGACCACTTGGTTAATACTAATACCCTTGTTGTATCCAGCTCCTGGTGGCCTTGAAAGTACGTTATCCGCAGCGGATTACAATCCTTAGGGGAAATCATGAGAGTCGACAGGTATTCAGTTTCCTCATTTATACTTTTTGACCCTTGTCAAAAATTGAATAGGCATTGAGTGGTCATGGTGCTTCTTGCATGTTTTATGATAATGATCAGCCTCATTTTCTCAAATCGTTGGGTAGGAAAATATTCTGTGAGCTGAAGCATTCTGGGAGCTCTAGCAGAATTTTATTAATGTGCTTGTTCTGGTTCTTTGTATGGTTATCCATTTTATGTTTAGTTTTTGTAATGCATATTATTAGTTTCTCACTTTTCATTCCTTCCTCTGAGTACCATAATCATGATGTTCCTTTGGTAGGGCTGTAAGGCAGGCCTATTTTTGGAGACCTTGAGCTTGGCTCCAAGGTTCATAGTATCGGCGATACTGATATGAGTCGGCAGCAGAGTCATATCTGACTTGGCACCCTTTAAGTCGATACCGTTTCGCATTATGTATAAAATCTGAGTCTTGCGACCTCAATTTCTAGCAATGTTCAACTTCTTCTTTAAGGTTGAATCTCCTGATACCGTTATGCAACGCTCCGACTGATGTGTCTTTGAACCCTTTGAGTTGATGACAGATACGATGACTTTCAACCATTCGAGAAGTATGTCGCTTGGCTCAACTAAACTAATTGGCGGGCTTAACAAGTGGAACTCGTGCTTCAATTTGTTGCTTGTTTGACTGACCCCACCTTGAGCAATCTAATACTCAAATTGTGTCTCCAACTCATTCGAGAAGTATGTCGCTATGAAGTTATTTTACTTATCACATGGTATCAAATTGCATTATGAAGAGCATTCATAGTGTCCCCCCACCCCACCCCACCCCAAATAAAAAAAAAAAAACCACCCCCACCCAAACTACAAAACTCACATAAACAGATGAGAAAAAAACTAAGAAAATAAGACAAATGATTTGATGCTGCAAGCTTGTCATATGATGTGACAGATTAGCCCTGCTTTCCAAGTTGTCTTGTGAAAAAATGCCCTCTTTATTTGCTAATTTATTTGGATTTTTTTTGATAAATAAATATCTCATTGTGAAGCGCCAAGCAAGAGTGCTTCTGTGTACACACGGTGAGTTGAGTGGAGTTGAGCCGAGCTCTTCGTATCATAAAGTAAATTTAAATCGAGCTGTCCTTCAGTGAGGATATTATAGCTTGGCTGACCCTATTATCGTTCGGGCTGTCATTGGAATATTTGATCCTGTTGTTGAGTATGTACGAATGAAACAAGTTCAAACAGGAAAATATCTCTGTTATATTGTAGTTCTGATCCCATTTTGGTTTACAAGTTGCATTCTCCAGTTAGCATAATATTACAAGCTTTTTGGAACATACTACAGATGGCTGTTTGACTTGATTAAAATCATTTTGTTGAATGCCACGAGCTTATGGCTATGCAATGTACTCTTTTGCAGATTACACAAGTCTATGGGTTTTATGATGAATGCCTACGAAAGTAAGTTCAGCATTCATACATCCTTGTGCTATATGAGGTTTCAAATGTATCTCTCTGTTTTATTGTTCATTTCCTGATCCCTGCACATAATTTTGCTAATTTCACTTTCTTCCCCAAAGTTTTTATGAAAATACTCTGATGATCTCTGGATTTAACTGACTGAAAAAGCAAATGGATGACCTTCATATGGCAAGTAGTATCTACATTTTAAACTTTCACGTATTTGAAGCAAATCAGTTGTTGAAGATAAGCATAGAATTTTAGGGGGGATATATTAGGAATTTATGAAAAACTAAGGGCCGATGATCCATGCTTTTCATTTTAGTTCAAGTTAGATTTTTTAGTACTTGGTATTCGTCCCCAATATTTGTCATTTGTTTAGAGACGCCCTGTTATTATAGTTTTTGTTGAATCTCCTCTCTTTTTAATTTTCTCCATGCATAATGTTGCCTGATAATTTAAGCTAGTACAAAAACTTTATAAGCTTTGACATATGTATGCCTGGTGTGTGGACATACTGATACATGAGTTTTGGACCTTGTTTAACTGGGTCTTGATATCCTAAATTTTGAGGATTGCTTGTGTGAGACATGGAAACGTTACCACTCCCAAGGCCATGTAACTTAGTTTGGTGCAAAGGGGATGGCAACGGGGACATTCTACAGGGTATCGCTATGCAACCCTGTCCCAGGAGAGAAATAAAATCCCCGAACCGTCCGTACTTCAACATAGGATGGACCATAGGTGCCCCATCAATTATTTCTATCAATTTTTGTGGTAGACTTCTATGCATGTGGCCAGTTGCATGTTGTGATCTGCTGCTGTCGTATGCCTTCTGGGTTTGTTGTGGCTGTTTGGAGTTGTGGTTTTTTGCATATCATTGCTGGTATCCAAGACTTCTTCCTCGTATTTTACAGGTACGGCAATGCTAATGTCTGGAAGATATTTACGGATCTTTTTGATTATTTCCCATTAACTGCTTTGGTAAGTAGGATTTCCACATTTCCCTGTATTTTCCTTCGATACATGCTTATTTTGCTTATTTTTGTTCAATTTTTTTTTAATTCCAGTTAAGCGTGATGCATATTATTTGATCTTTGTTCTTTACCAGTGAATAGTAAAAGTTTNTGATACATGCTTATTTTGCTTATTTTTGTTCAATTTTTTTTTAATTCCAATTAAGCGTGATGCATATTATTTGATCTTTGTTCTTTACCAGTGAATAGTAAAAGTTTTAGGACTTAACAAAGAAAGAAAATGATGTATTGGCCCGGAGAATTACATTAGTCAGAATAGCGGACACCTTTTTTTTGTTAGTATGTGTGTGATTTGTGTTGCTTTTTAGAACCTTTGCAAATTCCTTTACTTATTCTGTGGATATCTTCTAAGACTACACTCTTTATAGTAATGCTAAATTATGATAAGATAGTGTTCCTTAGAAATTGTGTTGTTTTGTGCAGCTGATGCATTTTTGGCTGGTTTTTGTTTGTGATTTTCTACACATCTAAATCAGACATTATTTCCAAAAATGGAGCAACTGAAAACCTTGTTTTGGGCTACAATATATTCATTTGAATTTGTTGCATGAGATTGGTTAGGCTGTGAGTGTGTATGCTAGAACCTCATATGTTGGGATATGCTAGAACCTCATAATATGACAAGGCCATTTATTGTTGTTAAATATGAGTTCTATGAATTGTAAGGGCAATTGTTGAAATTTTGCTTTAATTGTTGGCTGATATTCAAGGGATTCGGAATTGGGTAAATTTGCAAACAAAGTTTTTATTCTTGATTCGAGTCTGGTGGAAGGGGTCATTGCCTTGCAGGGGTAAGAGTGTTGTACCAACAACCTTGAGGGTGGGGCTTGAACTAATGGATGGGGACAATCCACCCCTCTCAACACTCTCCATTGATGTCATTACATTGAGAAATGATCCATTTTTTATTCAAGTCCAGTAGGTTCAGTAGTTAATAAGATCTTTTAAGTGAGGTCAGTTTTGAACTATTAACAAAATTTAGGTGATTATGCTCTGAAAAAGTTGGGTTAAATGCTATGAAAAAATGCCTTCGTTTTATTAGCATTTCCTTTCCTTTCCAATAGACATATCTAATGTTTGTTCAGTATCCCTTCATATTTTATTTCATTTGCCTTGTTTGTTCATAGAGATTCCATTGAAATTGAGTTATAGCTGTGGGGTTTGTTTCCCGTTAAAATGTGGATGAGGTCTAGAGAAAACATCAATTGTAGGTTTCTTGATCTCCCTTTGCGCAGAGGCATTGGTAGATAGCACGTGGCTTTTAGCTTTCTTGTTTGGAATAGGAGAGTAACACTTGGTACTAAAGAACAAACAAAAAAATTGGAGGAGAAAAAACAAAAGCAACACTACTGTCATTGTTTAACACAATTATTGTGTATGGCACTGCAACCTCAGAACAGCATGAGCTGTGACTAGGTATTGTTGGTGAAAAGTGTGTTCTGTTTCTTGTTTAACTATTTGCATGCTATTATTAAAGTTCACTCAAATGATTGAACTCCGCTCCGGTATTAAGTTACCTCTTTCATACCCCAATAAAGGTGGGAGTCTTGTGCACTTTGGCAAGGCCTTTTTTGAGTGGCTAATTTTAAAATTAATTTATACTATCTGAGTTACATTGATTTTATTTTAGTCATCTTGTCCTTATCAAATTCTAGGTTGAATCCGAAATATTTTGTCTGCACGGTGGATTGTCCCCATCCATTGAAACCCTTGATAATATAAGAAACTTTGATCGTGTTCAAGAAGTTCCACATGAGGGCCCCATGTGTGACCTGTTATGGTCTGATCCAGATGATCGTTGTGGCTGGGGAATCTCTCCCCGTGGTGCAGGATACACTTTTGGCCAGGTAATTCTTTGTGGTTTCCTGTTTAGTTTCTTGTTTCCTCTGTGAACTCATTATGGCCCTCCTTTTTCATTACTTTTTCCCCTAAAAAAGGACATATCTGAGCAATTCAATCATACCAACAATCTAAAGCTGATTGCTAGAGCTCATCAGCTGGTTATGGAGGGATTTAACTGGGGACATGTAAGTACTATGGTTTGTAACTATTGAGTCACTTCTGATTTTTGTTTTTGTGTTGAGGGAAATGGAGGTTTGCTTAATTGAGTGTTGTGTTCAATAGGAACAAAAGGTCGTCACTATTTTTAGTGCGCCCAATTACTGTTACCGTTGCGGAAACATGGCATCTATACTGGAAGTTGATGATTGCAAAGAGCACACATTTATCCAGGTCTTTCTCTTTCTTTCTCTCTCTCACACACAAACCTCTCCTCTCCAAGTGCTGACAAATATCTACAGCTTTGTTGAGGTTGTTAGGTGTAACTGGCTTTTCTCATGGTGCTTCTCTGATGATTTAATCTGATACTGAAACCTTGGATCTAATGCAACTGATGTGGGTATACTCCTAATTATCTTGAGTGATACAAGAATGACAGCCTGTGCTTGTCCCACCATTTCCTTTTGCATTGACTATCTTTTGCTATCAAAGTCCATTTTTTAAGGCAGCTAAAACAATTCGAGGAGGCTATTTTGAGGACTTTTTCCCCTCAAAATGTCTGTCGCTATTGCCTATTTTTACCACTACCCACTGGGATGATTTTATCACTGAATGTGAGATGTGAACTGTTATTTAGTGCATACTAGGGTAGTCATTTAATTTTAAGTCCCTCCCACCTTCATGTTTGCAGTTTGAGCCAGCTCCAAGGAGAGGAGAACCTGATGTAACCCGGAGAACGCCTGATTATTTCCTATAATCACTTGCTTGAGTTGCTGGCCTGTGACGTCTGCATGGTGGTTGGCTTAAGATGGGTCACGGATATTAGACAATTATCTCAAGCTACTATGCTTGTTGCTTTATGGTGGGACTTCCAATAGGTATGCAAAATTGGCAGCGAAGGCCCGTGTTGGTATTAAGTCATGTTCTAACCTATTTTAGGTTCCCAGGATGGAGGCAGTGGAGCTGGGGATGGTTTAATGTACCATTTTATTCAAACTTCTTTTCATCCGTTTTCATTTTAACTAGATAATTTTGCGTTCAATTTTTTTCTTATTTGTTTTTCCTCGTTTTCCTTTTGGGGGCTTGGAGGGATGAAGTTGTGCAGATTCAAGGGGAAAAAATTTCAGTGTTGTGGGTTGTTTTGACTTCTTTATTGTTGAATGTTGAATAGAGACTGAATTGATTTGATAGCTGAAGCCTTATTTAGTGTTTGCTCGGGGATTAATTCACTCTAGTCCCTTTTTATATATTTTTTCGCACCTTTTCTCTTTCCGACTATTTAGGGTCATCTCCTACGTCGATTGTGTATGATTTTTGGGATTATAAAGATGTTCATTTTGTGATTGTCGACCTTGTGTTTGGTTCAGCAAGCTCTTAGGTTGTATTTGGGCCAACAGTGATATGTCGTACTAAAGTTAATAGTTCAATCTTGTTAATGAATCTCGTAGGGCATGAATGTTCAAATTCAGCATCATCGACCAATTGGTTTCCCAGATTTATTCTCATGTATTTACAGATATGACATGTAACTGGCTGTGTTAGAATTCTAGATAACATTAGCAATCAACTTCGCGCGTAGAACATAGGAGCAGGAACTACATTTTACGGTCAAATTTGCCAGAAAAATATTTAAAAAAAGATAAGAGGAAAGACTGAACCGCACTATTTTTTCAGCTTTTGTTGTTTTAAGATGGTTTGGGGAGTAGGAGTAGGAGTAGGAGTAGGTGTAAAAAGATCAGAATTGGAGAATTGATAGAATAGGAAGTTTATAGAGGAGAATGAGAACATTTGGAATGTAACACAAACAATAGAAAAGGAGGATAGAAAATCTAATAGACATGTCCGTTGAGCTGAAATGGTTAAGAACTTTAATGAAAGCAATCAATCTACGAACATTTTACTATATGTTGAGCTATGTACATATTTCTGTATGTGCAAGAAAAATGCATAAAAAAAAACAGTACATAAAATTTTTTAAAAAATACTNATGCGTAGAACATAGGAGCAGCAACTACATTTTACGGTCAAATTTGCCAGAAAAATATTTAAAAAAAGATAAAGAGGAAAGACTGAACTACACTATTTTTTCAGCTTTTGTTGTTTTAAGATGGTTTGGGGAGTAGAAGTAGGAGTAGGAGTAGGTGTAAAAAGATCAGAATTGGAGAATTGATAGAATAGGAAGTTTATAGAGGAGAATGAGAACATTTGGAATGTAACACAAACAATAGAAAAGGAGGATAGAAAATCTAATAGACATGTCCGTTGAGCTGAAATGGTTAAGAACTTTAATGAAAGCAATCAATCTACGAACATTTTACTATATGTTGAGCTATGTACATATTTCTGTATGTGCAAGAAAAATGCATAAAAAAAAACAGTACATAAAATTTTTTAAAAAATACTTTTAAAAAGTACTAAAGTTCTTGAAAAATATTGCACGTGAACAGTGTAATTGCCCTCTCAAGTTCCTTGATGTTTTCTTATCTTNTGTTAAAAAAAAAAAACAGTACATAAAATTTTTTAAAAAATACTTTTAAAAAGTACTAAAGTTCTTGAAAAATATTGCACGTGAACAGTGTAATTGGCCTCTCAAGTTCCTTGATGTTTTCTTATCTTGAGAGAAAATAAAGAAAGTGAGAGAACATTGTCTCCGTCAGCTTGAAAAAGAGGATCTTGAGTTGAAAAAAGCAAATTGTTGTCCTCCGAAGATTGATTAACACNGCCTCTCAAGTTCCTTGATGTTTTCTTATCTTGAGAGAAAATAAAGAAAGTGAAAGAACATTGTCTCCGTCAGCTTGAAAAAGAGGATCTTGAGTTGAAAAAAGCAAATTGTTGTCCTCCGAAGATTGATTAACACTTATTAAACATGTTCTCCAGTCTTGCTATGCACTTTTTGCTTGGATAGTTTTTATTATTTTTACGTAAAATCTAAATAATGTTATCTTTTCACCATGATTCATATTGCAAGCAGAGTAGAACGCCAATTGCGAAAATTAAGAACAGGAGAGAGAGAATCATATTGGAGGAAGTCTCATCCGCTTGATCTTCCTCTACGTCTACGTGGATAGCCGGAGAACTGGCTTTTTCCGGGACCCCAAACGACCATTCTGCTTAATCTTAACCAAACGGCTCAAAACTTTAACATAACGACTCACCAATCTTTTGAACTGAGCTCCTTCCAATCTCTCTTCATGCTGTTTAACAACCACTTGCAGATTCTTCTCTTCTTCTGTAAAATGCTGTCCAAGAGAACTCCTGCTTTTGATCAGTTCTTCCAAGCTTTTGTGATCATTTTCATGTCCATTGGCTCCTGCACCAGGAGGCTTCTCTTCTTCTTCTTCTTCTTCTTCTTCTTCTTCCTCCTTCACGCCGATCACCTGATTTTCTCTCTCCGGAGAGATTGGTTTTTGGGGAGATTGGTTGGTTTCTGTAAAGAGATTCAATGGCTTTCTGGTTCTCTTTGACATGCTGATATCATAATGGGGTTTGCTTGGACTTGATTCATCATTTTCCATTCAATGGTGCTGAATTAGAGTTTGGAGANTTCCTCCTTCACGCCGATCACCTGATTTTCTCTCTCCGGAGAGATTGGTTTTGGGGGAGATTGGTTGGTTTCTGTAAAGAGATTCAATGGCTTTCTGGTTCTCTTTGACATGCTGATATCATAATGGGGTTTGCTTGGACTTGATTCATCATTTTCCATTCAATGGTGCTGAATTAGAGTTTGGAGAGAGAATAAAAAAGTAGGCTAGGGTAGTGGGAATGATGAACTGAGTAAGCTTGCTTGGTTGCCAATTCAAAGGGGTGGTTTATTAAAGCTTAAACAGGTGAAGTGTCCCTTTTCTTGGATGGTCTATTGAATTATGGATTGTTTGTTGAAACTGGTTCATATTGTATAAAATGAATCGAATTTAACCAAATATTGAAACTTGATCACTATTCAAGTCGAGTACGAGCAATGTATCACTTATCTTGATAATTTTTAGTTCCATTTGTTTCTAGTAACATACAGATGTACTAGCAATAATCTTGTGTCCGAGACACTATATAATATCAAAAATCAAACTGATCTTGCAATATTTATATTTTAAATAANCGTTTCTAGTAACATACAGATGTACTAGTAACAATCTTATGTCCGAAGACACTATATAATATCAAAAATCAAACTGATCTTGCAATATTTATATTTTAAATAATAATTTATTTTTTTAATTACGTAATTTAAAATTAAAATGAAGAGAGAGATATGTATAGATTGATGGGACTCTTTGACAATAGAAAATGTGTTGATTGAGTTATCTAACATTAGGGGGTCGTGCATATAAGTTGATTTTTTGGGCAGAAAAATAAATTATGGGATGAATTATGTACTATTATATCAAAGTAGATGAAAATTAGGCTAATCTTGACTATTGTTATACTTTTATAAGTTAAAAATACTATTTTCTAGCTATAATATTCGATAAATGTCTAATAGTGAAAAGGAAAAATTGCATAATAGATACAAAAATCTTGAAGTTGTCCCTTGAATGATTAATTTTTTCATATTATTCCCTCAAAGAAATNTTAGGCTAATCTTGACTATTGTTATACTTTTATAAGTTAAAAATACTATTTTCTAGCTATAATATTTGATAAATGTCTAATAGTGAAAAGGAAAAACTGCATAATAGATACAAAAATCTTGAAGTTGTCCCTTGAATGATTAATTTTTTCATATTATTCCCTCAAAGAAATAAAAGCATTGCAAATGGTCCAAAAACATTGCAATCTACTTCAATAAAATGTTTACATTGAACTGTTTTTTATTTTTTTAAGGGAATAATGTGTAAAAATTAATTATTTCGGAGACAAACTAAAGATTTTTATATCTTTTATAGGACAAAATGAGATTTTCTCTAGTGAAAAATAACAAAATGAATAACAATGCTTCTAATTGGAGATTNCTGTTTTTTATTTTTTTAAGGGAATAATGTGTAAAAATTAATTATTTGGGAGACAAACTAAAGATTTTTATATCTTTTATAGGACAAAATGAGATTTTCTCTAGTGAAAAATAACAAAATGAATAACAATGCTTCTAATTGGAGATTATTGGGTTCAACTCTCATTGGTCTTTTTTCTTATATTTACTTGAACTCAAGATCGTTATAAAAAATAGAAAGAAAAAAAAAAGAGTTGGGTCTCATATAAAATTAAAATCGAGCCAAACTTGAGAAAGAATTTAAGCTCGACATCCAAGCTCGAGCCTAAAAGACAGTTAGAGAGCTTGCAAAGAATAAAACGTAGGTTTAACCACTAGGGAATGAATGAAATTTAAGGTTGCTTGGTGGGCAATTTAGAGGGGTGGTTTATTGGGGCTAATTAAGAGGTAAAGTGTAGTTTTCTTGGATGGTCTATTGCATTCTATATATCACATCTAAAACGACCAACACCCTCCTAGAATTATGTGATGTAAGAAGAATATTTTGTTACAATGTTTTAACCTACGTTAGTAAGTCGTTTTATTGTAGACAATATTTGTTTTCATCAATTTTGATAACTCGATATGTTTTCATCAAATGCCGCCTCCAAAATACAATGAAACTCGAATTTAATATGATATTTGACTATGTTAAACATAAACAAAATTAAATCAGAATGTAACCAACTTTTACTAACTCGTAAATTTGTGTTCTATGGAAAACATATTCAAATATATATATATATATAACAAGAAGGAAATGATCAAGGATTTTTGGAGGGAGAGAAATATATATGAAAATAAATTAAACAAAATTATTATCATTTGAATGTGGAAATTGCAAACTTTTGCCACATTTTTGGTAGGTGACTTTCTTTTCTTTTCTCTTTTTTTGGTTTTATGGTAATGGGTTTCCGGACTAACTTATGTACACATTAACTAATCCCCTTTTTGGTCCTATCAAAGGTAGGCTATCCACGCTGAGACTAGAGAATTCATGAAGAATAAATCATTTATNGTTTTTTTGTCGCAAATGCTGTACATATAGGAATATATATAATAGTCAAGAGAAAAATTCACTGTACAGGGGGAGGCATTCAGTGGAACTACCGGTCACAAGAGATACTTTAATGGAACCACCGGTAAAGAAAAAATCCGACGTCTAGAAAATTTTATGGAAAAAGAGCTATCGGGATGACACGAGAATTTTTTAAAAAAGATTTGGGTAAAAAAATAGATTTGTCTATTAGAGAGCTCTATACGAAATTAAGTTTTTTATTCTTTTTTTACTCAAATTTGGGTAAAGATTTAAAAAANCATTAGAGAGCTCTATACGAAATTATGTTTTTTATTCTTTTTTTACTCAAATTTGGGTAAAGATTTAAAAAAGTACTAGAGATGGCCTTATATATTTAGAAATTAACACTAATGTACAACCAAGTTGCAGAATATTTTTTAACATACTCCAAAATTTACATCAAATCATTTGTAATCATTAGATTAGTGGGTCTCATCACTAATTACATGACTGCAGTTAATTTGATGAAAGTTTTGGTGCACAAATTTAGTGCACATAANGCCAAGATAAAGAATTTTTTTTTTTTTCAACAGTCAAGAATATCTAAACTATTTTATGTCTGCTTAGACTAATTTTTTCTCCAATCTGGTAAAAAATAAGTCATTCATGTCGGGACTAGAGTAGTCATGAGGGATAAATCCTTAATGGCCTGACTCCATGAAATTGTCAAGATTCAAACTTAAGACATCTAAATTTATAATTCGTCCCTATTATTACTTAGGCTACCACTTAAAATTACATGGAGCTTTTTGACCTCTTACAATNTTAGTACCGTACCTCTAATTTTTCTCATTTTTGCAGGTGTTTTTACAATAAAAAAAATTTACTATTTTTGTGGGTAATTTACAAATTTTGTTAGTATTTTTATCATTTTTGTAGTAACTATTTTTATCCGAACTTGAGCCTCAACACAGACAAGCTCTCTCTCCCCTAATCCTAATGTATGCTTTACTGGTGCAAGTTCTACAATTGGCTTAAATCATATGTATACCCGCAAGTTTGCTGATAACTTTGTGTTTCTATATCCCACAATAATATTGATTAGATTTAANTATTAGAGAGCTCTATACGAAATTAAGTTTTTTATTCTTTTTTTACTCAAATTTGGGTAAAGATTTAAAAAAGTACTAGAGATGGCCTTATATACATCCAAGTTGCAGAATATTTTTTAACATACTCCAAAATTTACATCAAATCATTTGTAATCATTAGATTAGTAGGTCTCATCACTAATCTCATGACTGCAGTTAATTTGATGAAAGTTTTGGTGCACAAATTTAGTGCACATAAAAGTAACGTTTTTTTTTGGTTGATTGTCCACTGCACAACACATTTCACAACAAACATAGACTCTAATGTATCATAGAATTGTTAAGTTGATATCTATCTCTCTGCTTAATCAAGGCCAAGTAGCCTACGTTGATATATTAATAGCAAGGAGAATACTATGGTACCAAAAAAAAAATTAGTACCGTACCTCTAATTTTTCTCATTTTTGCAGGTGTTTTTACAATAAAAAAAATTTACTATTTTTGTGGGTAATTTACAAATTTTGTTAGTATTTTTATCATTTTTGTAGTAACTATTTTTATCCGAACTTGAGCCTCAACACAGACAAGCTCTCTCCCCCCTAATCCTAATGTATGCTTTACTGGTGCAAGTTCTACAATTGGCTTAAATCATATGTATACCCGCAAGTTTGCTGATAACTTTGTGTTTCTATATCCCACAATAATATTGATTAGATTTAATCATTTGACAAAAATGATTGAATTTTTTGAATTGATAATAGATCTTATTCAATACTAAAACTTATTATTAATTTGAAAATAATAACAAATTACGTCAACGAATTAAGATAGATAATAAAATCTAACCCAAAAAAAAAAACAATCAATAATAATATATTTTGGAATGAGTGCCCCCAATTTTTCTTCTTCGTGATTAATTCATTATGTATTTAAGTGAGACCCAATGTATATAAGTTAGTCTATCACTCACTAGTGTGAATCTATGTAATAAAATAGGACCCATGAGATTCATTTAATCCCATGGCTCAAAATTATCATCAAAATATTNATTAGTACCGTACCTCTAATTTTTCTCATTTTTGCGGGTGTTTTTACAATAAAAAAAATTTACTATTTTTGTGGGTAATTTACAAATTTTGTTAGTATTTTTATCATTTTTGTAGTAACTATTTTTATCCGAACTTGAGCCTCAACACAGACAAGCTCTCTCCCCCCTAATCCTAATGTATGCTTTACTGGTGCAAGTTCTATAATTGGCTTAAATCATATGTATACCCACAAGTTTGCTGATAACTTTGTGTTTCTATATCCCACAATAATATTGATTAGATTTAANTTTATCACGTTATCTATTTCTATAACAAGTTAAATTATTTAAATTTTGACTCAATATAATTTTGAGTCAAAAATTATAATTTATAATTTAAAATTAAAGTGAAC